AGTGTGGTGGCACTGCCCGCCAGGCCACGTTTCAGACCCATCTGGAAGAGTCCTGTCTGCACTTTGCCAGGCGCATCGGCTACAGGTTCTTGGCTTTCAATTTCCTATCAGTGTTTTGTAATATTGCAGGCTATCCTTGTGAGATTTCCTGCAAAGAAATAAAGAGAAATCGCCTACTTATACTTCCACGTGCTCAAATCTACTTCCTTTATTTCAGGTGCTCCAGTTGTCAAGTTGTGTTCGGAGGTTTGAATTCTATCAAGTCCCACATTCAGACAGCTCACTGTGAGGTGTTTCATAAGTGCCCCAATTGCCCGATGGCCTTCAAATCTGCGCAGAGCGCCCAGGGGCACATCACTTCCCAGCATCCCGCCCTCACAGCTGCACAGGCTAAGTAGGTTGAAACATCACCCACAGCTTTTCATGAAAAGTGCCATGGATGTGAAATATTTTGATTACTCAAATTCGTTAAAGATATGAACTCTGATCCTCATTATATTCTTATATTCGTTCTACAGGATGATCTACAAGTGTGTCATGTGTGACACTGTGTTTACCCAGAAACCTTTGCTCTACATGCATTTTGACACTCACCTGGCCAAACAGAAGGTGCATGTGTTCAAATGCCCAGACTGCACTAAACTTTATGCCCAGAAAGGCTCCATGATGGAACACATCAAGGTACTTATCTTAACAATAATAATTCAAATATTAATAATAAGCTTATGATCTAGTTTATTATTAAACAAGCCATTAAAGTATATTAATTGATTTAGTTTTAAATGAATGAATTGTCGTTTTGCCTTTTGTGTTACCCATTCTTTTCACTTCCCCTAAAGTATGTGGTGTCAGCAAAGGCATACAGTAAAACTCTTGGTTTGGCTTTTACTGAGTGATTTTTGTCTATCACCTTGTCTAAAGCTCATACCAAGTACAAAAGCCACCTCAATGTGAATTGTCTTATTTTCCTGTCTGTCTCACTCATGCTTTTGACCAGAGCTGCCTTACATTATTTCCCCTTAGACTGCTCATAGAGGCCTGTCCGTCAAAGCAGAGACTCCGCCCACCACCTCATCTCCTGTCTCAGCTCCTGCCAACAACTCCACCACTAAACCCAAACCAGCTGAAAACAATTCAGATGAGTTGAGCCAGGGACAGGGAGAGGGAGAGGAGGAAGAGGAGGGGGAAGAAGAGGAGGGAGAGCAGGAAGGGGAGGAGAGAGAAGAGGAAGAAGAGGAGGAGAATGAGAATGAGGAGGAAGATCAGCCGAGTTCTCCAGAGAGCGGGAATATGGAGTGGAGGTGCAGGGAGTGCAAGAAACGCTTTCCTGAGAGAGAGGATTACATCGACCACATGAAGAACGACCACGACACGGTTGGTACTCTTGAACACATACAATCACAGCAAGAAGCAATCACAAGAAAACGCAAGCACAGAAGTTATTATATATAAGAGAGATATTCTATAATAAATGTGTGATTTATATTCTATATTTCTGTGCATGCATTTGTAATTGATGCAAAAATATAACTAATAGCATTTAAAATAGTTGATTTATTTTGATCAATTTAATTTTAATTTACAAAGAAAATTCTAAATGTCATTATTTTCCCCAGTAGTTTACTTTTCTACAAAAATGTGCACAAAAGTTTGGGTCAGTAAGATTTTTTATGTTTTTGAAGTCTCTCGTGCTCACCAAGGCTGCAAATATAGTAAAAACATTAATATTATTACATTTTTACCATTAAAAATAACTGTTTTGTATTTCAATATTTTTTAATTTGTAATTTTTTTCCTGTGATGCACAGCTGAATTTTCAGCATCCTCACTCCAGTCTTCAGTGTCACATGATCCTACAGAATTAATTCTAATATGCTAACAATGTTAAAAACAGTTGTGCTGCTTAATATTTTTGCGGAGGATTCTTTGTGAATAGAAAGTTCATAAGCATTTATGTGAAGGCATTTAAAACAGCATTTATTTGATATTTAATTTTTTTAACAATGTCTTTACTGTCAATTTTGATCAATTTCCTTGCTGAATAAAGTATAAATTTATGTTAAAAATCTTGCTGACCCCAAACATATTTTCAATATTGACTAATTAAACTTTACAATCCATCTTTGACCTATATATATATATATATATATATATATATATATATATATATATATATATACACAATGTGTTTACTTTGAATAAAAAAGGCAATTCTTCAAATTTGTTTTATGCCTGCCTTATGTTTTAATTTCGTCCTCTAGTTAATGAAGAAGTTCCCCTGCAGATTGTGTGAGCGTTCGTTCAGTTCAGCCAACAGCCTTCGTCGACATGTCAGAATAATACATGAGGGCGTCAAGAGAGTCTTCCATTGCCCGTGAGTCAAATACTCCTCAACCACCAATTGATTTGAATCTTTCTTTCCCTTCCTAAAATGATTCTTTATTTGATTCTTTTTTGATTATTATGTTGTTCTCTTCAGGCACTGCTCAGAGGGCAAGCGTACATTCAGTAGTCGCCTGATTTTGGAAAAGCACATTCGGGTCAGACATGGCATTAGAGCGCGACAGACAACAGACAGACAGGTCAGTTTAGACACTCTTTATAGTTTATTATAATTAATTATCCACACATTCATTTTAATTTCTTCTCTCAGAGCGCTCCAAACACCAGAAAGCGTTCACTACCAGGTGACGGGGCGGGCAGTTCATCTGAGCTTGACAATGAGGGCGGAGCTCCAGCTGGAGGGGGCGGCGCCGATGCGGATGACGTCACGGGAGAGGACGCCTCGGGTCCAGCGAAGAGAACTCGAGCGTCTGAAAACCGACCGGTCGAGCAGGAGGAGGACGACGGCACGTTCCGTTGCACGCCCTGCGGCTTCACCACCCAGGATTGGGAAGAGTTCCAGCGCCACATTCCCGTCCACTGTGATGCGGAGAACGCGTCTCAGCAGTGCCTGCAATGCGGAGCCTGTTTCGCCTCGGCCGGCTCTCTCAGCCGACACAAATTCATCACGCACCGCTTGCGCCAAGGTCAGCAGGACAGTCGTGGTGGAAACACATCACCTGGCTCGTCTCCGCAGGACGGATCGCCGTCCTCGCCTAAAGCGGGGGAGGAGGGGGAGGGAGGGGTGAGCTGCAGGGTGTGCGGCCGGCGCTTCGACAAAACCTCGGACCTTAACACACACTTCCGCACGCATGGCATGGCCTTCATCACGGCACACAGGACCGACAAGCCCTTGTAGAACAAACAGAGTCAAACGGGAAAAAGAAAGAAAGGAAAAGCCATTGCAAAACAGGACACGGCTTTGAACCAGCCAATAAGACGAGTTTAAAATAATGCATATAATTTGGAAAATTTAACCTGTCGTTATGATTGTAATGTGATCTGTCTTCCGAAATACAAAGATATAAAGTTATTTCCCCCTTTCCTCCAATCGTTCCGGTTTGTAACATCCTCAGCCTTTTAAATACATTTACACAAGGTCAAATTGTATCTCAGACAGGCTTTGTATTGCTCGAAAACTATTTTACATTTCGAGCAATTCAGCGTCTGCTGGGTTTCGCCGAGCTGAGCGTCAATCCACAAAAGCATTAAAGCAAAAAGGGTGCTAGTGAAGGTTTTTTTTTTAACAAATAAAGGAAAACACTGACTTTAAAATGTAATGATATTGTACAGACATTGTAGTACTGATATTTATTTATATTGAAGCATTCATCAGTCTTTTTATAATCATTGAGAACTTAAAATAAGTGAGTGGAAAAAGTTTCATTTGTGCAAGAAGAACACGTATATGAGGTCAAAGGTGAATTGTAAAGTTTAAATAGTCAAAAAAGGTCAATATAAGTAAACATGCAAACATTTCAGCCACAGATACACTTGAGCACATTTTACATGTGTATAAATGCACTACATCAGTTTGATATGGTTGTTGCATTTGAAAATGTGAATAAGTTCAGTCTGTTTTGTTTTTTTGTTTTAAGCTGAAAGGTGATATTGAAAAGCTAGTAGTGAAATTTTGTGTTCGGGACCTGATGTAATTTTTACGACTTCATCTGATTGAAAAAAAAATCGACACTGAGTTTGAAGGATTGCTTGTGTGTTTTATGGCAAATTATGTACAAATATGAATGTTGTTTGTGTATTTTTTTTTTCTTTGATAAGAGTCTTTTCTATCAGAAAGTTCTGTGCTTGTCAAAAACCACATTTCTTAAAAATAATATTGTGATCGTGTGAATCATCTGTGTGAGTGTGACTTTCTCCAGTAATAGATGTATACATCCCATACATAGACAGTCTATAGACAGCCATCTTATTCTGTGATGACCTGCCTGTTTCACTGCCGTACATCTGTGTCAGTTCTATTTCTAAATAAAACAGTAAATTGGTACGGTACAGATGATGGTGTCCTTAATGATGTATGTCCCCGTGCATGCTGGGAAACACTAATAATAGTATAATGCACACAGTTTAATATCAACATTAGCAAAATCTTTGAATGCAATGCAATTAATGGTGAAAATACATATAAAATAAAACATTTTTGCATTAACACCATTAATTAATTAATCACTGTTTATGTTAGTTCACAGTGCATTCATGTTAGCTTATTGTTAAAATGATTCATCTTAACATTAACAAATACAAAAAAATATTATTGTACCGCTTTACAGCTTCATTAGAACTGAAATTGAGTATATTTCAATTTTTTCTAACAAGAAAATATAAAGTACTCTTTACTGAACAACAATTCAGCATTGAATAGATAGTGTGCTGCACTGTTTTAAATAGTAACGTTTTTAAGACATCAGCCAGCCTTCCGGTTTTTACAACGCCATTGTTAACATATTTGATTATAAACCTACAAAGAAATCCAAAATTACTAGACAAGATGTAGTAGACCACAATAAGGTCATATAGTTCATAAACCTTTGCCAGACAATTATTGTGATAATGATTGTGCTTCCAAAAAATGTTTATAATTTAATACATTTAACATAAATAGTAACAAATCAGATTCCATCACGCGTTTTACCGATTCTTTTCACTTTATCTTATATCCGCTGAGGTTATGGAAAAGATCTTTTCCTTGCCGTTTTCTTTAATGGTGTCAAACTTGGACTGGACACCCTCCAGCTCCAGAGTTTGCTGGACCTTCGCTGTCAGGCCTTCGGGATCCATTGGCTCTGAGTCTGGATGATGTACTCCAATCAGCAGCTCATAAAGTAATGAACCCAGAAGAGCACCAACACATGTTACAACCAACGGTACCCACCACCATCCATGTCCGGCCCTGACAACAAATAGCCTCATGTTAATATCTGTAAATATAAAAAACACACCACTGTTCAAAAGTTTGGGGACTATAAGATTTTTTTTTTTTTTTTATAAAAGGAGCTATATAATATTAGTTTTATCCAGTAAAAATGCATTCAATTGATCAAAAGTGACATTAAAGACATTTATAATATTATAAAAGATTTCTATTTTCAAAGTCCTGTCACGAAACTCTAGGTGGTACAGGCTGATAGGTCCTTAACTCAATTGGCTTGCAATCACATCGTTCTCTATTGGGAACGGCTGATTGGTTCCTAGCAGCCAACTTTTAAATACTTGGTCAGCGTTTTCTGTAGCAGTGCATCGTGCTTTCAGAAACCCTCCACCTTCCCCAGCTCCACCTGTATAGATCTGCTACGGGTAATTCATGTATGCTATATTGTACAGAAGCAGCATGTCTTGCATGTATTAGCAAGTCCCGTACTTGCTCTGCAGCAGCAATAACCACAGCCAAAACTAAACAAATTAACATTAGCATATCCATTACCATGACAAACACTCAAAGAGTTGTCATGACAGAAGTGCTGTTCTTTTGAACTTTCTATTTATCAAAGAATCCTGAAAATAATGTATCACGGTTTCCAAAAAAATATCGCACTACTGTTTTCAATATTGATAATAATAATAAATGTTTCTTGCACCAAATAAGCATATTGGAATGATTATTTTTTATTTCACAATATTACTGTTTTTACAGAATTTTTTTATCAAATAAAGGCAGCCTATGTGAGCATAAGAGACTTTCAAAAACATTGACAAAAGTTACCGACACTACATTTTTGAACAGTGGTGTAAAATACAGTGTAAATAACAAACAAAGAAAATATTTGAGTGCATAATTAATTGATCAGAAGCCTTTGACATTGTGTGTATGTTACACTTACCTGAACACCTCGTCTCCCCAGCCTGCAATGTAAGAGAAGAGTCTTGGTCCGATGTCTCGTGCCGGGTTGATGGCATATCCACTGTTAGATCCCATTGAAATCCCGATGACCAGGACAACTGCTCCTACCAGGACAGGCTCCAGACCAGGAGGTGCTGGTGTGTTATGAGGATCTCCCAATGCAAGAACACATACTAGCAGAGCGGCTGTGCCAATTATCTGCAGGACAAGCACAAGTTTTTTAAAAAATCTTTTTAAAGCATTGTGAATGACTATATCTTCTTATATTGTTATTTTGTAAAAGACACTAACATGCACCAGCTTCTCAAGAAGAGTAGGTGTTATTTTGTCATTGACATACAAAACGCAGAAAATGTCATAAAAACCCTACATTCAACAAGTCACCACACTCTTAAAAATAAAGGTTCCAAAAGAGGGTTTTCGCAGTAATACCATAGAAGAACCATCTTGGGTTCCCCAAAGAACCTTTCATTGAGCAGTTCTTAGAATGACCTTTTTTTAATTCAGGTTAAAGAACATTTTAAGAATCTAAATGTTCCATTTTGTTCAGTGGAAAGTTCCATGAATGCTAAATGTTCTACATGGAACCATCGATGGCAATATAGAGCCTTAGGTTGCACTACACTCCTGCGACCAGAAATCTCAACAATGGTAACACACATACACGACAAGCTTTATAACATTGATAACATTCTTTTAAGTAACGAGAACACACTTGCAAACCCGTTTCACTTCAGAGTATTTGGACCCAAACCTGTTTGAACTTGTTCAATTGCAAAGCATGCTGGAATACCGTCACCACCACAATAGCTTTTAAACAATGGAATTCCATGAACTGAGCTGAACAGTTTTTTCCTGATTCAGCCAAACGGAGGTCAGTGTGATCCTGGTGTCGTGACTCCTGGGGTCACTCATTTATCTACTCAAACGAACAAGAATCGTCCTTTCACAGGTGTACAGAAATGCATTACTTAGTGTTCTGCTAATATTTACTGGTATTGGAACTTATTACCTCTATATTTATGTTAAACTCCCATGGACTGAAATCTCAGGATATCAGTAATGATTAGCCGTGTCAGCGTCATGGGCATATAATTGTGCGTGAATAAAGGATTAGCTAATTACGAAACTCTTACAAATAGTTATGAATAGCTAAACAAACCTATGAAAACGTGTCTTACGTTTTGAATAGTTAAATACAAATGTCTAACTAAATCAGTTACAAGGCCAGGATTCTCCATAAGGATGGACCTTGGTGAAATATTGTGGACCTTTACTCAGTCTCCTTTCAAATTTATTATACAAGTGGAATTTGAATATCATGAAGTTGATATTCTTTATCATGTTTGAGAGAATATTCGATTTTTTTTATGCAATCTGTCGGTAGCACTTTATTTCACGGTCCTGTTTTCCATGAACATAATATGTACTTATTGTAGTTATGACACTGGTAATAACTAGCCTACCCTGAACCTACCCTTAAACCTTAAAGCAGCACTAAGTAGGAATTCCGTTTTTGTCAAACAGCGACCCCTAGAGTCGCTGTGGAGTACTTGTACTGTCGTGAATAGCACTCACGCAGAGATGGCTCGCACTCACGGCCGGTGTTCTGACGATTTGTGCTGCCTTGTCGAAAAATGCTACCGTAACGCGAATCGATCACAGAATGTCGATTAATATTATATGAAATACAATTATAATACAATTCTAAGTTATGAGTAGCTACTGTATACTGTAGACTACTGTTTTTATTTTTAAAACGGTGTGAAAATTAAAAATTATCATCAAATATTCATCTTTGACTTGTCAAAGCACACTTTTCCTTAGTAACTGAAACTTTCAGTTATTATTGTTCAGCTGGCTGACCGTACACATATTCATATGCTAGTTAGCATTTTTAAAGGGAAATTACAATATAACACATGAAAATGTACCTTTTGTTAAAAAAAACTGTGCGTCTGCACATGCGCATAACCATTAAGTAGCAAATCTCGATGGGTAGCATGAATCGTCAGAACACCGGATCTCCTCCCCCTGTACACCGGTACCTGTTCAGTAGGATGGACGCTGTAACGAGTGGAAATAAGGTATGGCCCCTTTAAGAGCTGAGCGCGCCCTGTTTAACTGTCGGCAGTCTGTATTGTATGTGCGCCTCGAACACCACATGTATACGGCGCCGGGTTATTTCTGTTTGATGCTCATTTTATCAGAATTTTATCAGATCTGTTTTTAAAGCAATTCGTTACCTCGCGAGACCTGATATCACACGATACTTCCTAACACTGAGGCCAGCGGCCCGTCGGCCCAAAGTTGCAAGGGTGGTTTTGCGGCTCACAGGCACCAGGGGGGTGCGAGACGACCACCATTCAACACGAAATCAATAATATAAACATTACAATGACTCCAAAGCTGTTCGGTTAAGGTAAAAAAGTTACTAGTTCACCTATAGTAACCTTAAATTCCTCAGTACTTTAGTGGGTAAGTATACTGTAAGCACATGCTCTAAAATAAAGTGTCTTTTTCAACCAGTCCGTCTTTTCTCACAGTGTCTGAAACAGCTCGGATTCAGTCTCTCTAAAACCCTCCTTTCCGCGAACTCTGCTCTGATTGGTCAGATGACCCAGTCTGTTGTGATTCCCAAACAGCTACACACACAAGGTAATCTCCGATTAAGCATAATACTGGCACTATATAATATTTGGTTATGGTGATCTTATGAAAGTCCTGTGTTGTAGTCTTAGCGTTTCAAACTGTAGATTTCCGCTTTATGTGTTACTGACCTGGTCTACCACTCCTCCCCATAGACTCAGGTAGTCTGCTGGGTAAGTGGAGAAGATACCAGCTGTGCCAGTGGCACCACTAACAGTCAGATGCCCTCCAGTGAAATCCATTATGGCATCTAAACAAAATACATACTGAATGAATAAGTGCCTTCATTTGGATGTACTTACTGTACTGTATTCTTATATAGAGGTTACATATAGGCCAACATGCACTCACCATAGTACTGAAGAGCAACAGTTGCTGCAGCCAGAAATGCACCTAAAATCTGTGACCACACAAAGAAAGGAAAACGAGTCCAGGAGAATCTGCCCAGGACACACAGGCTGAGGGAAACCGCTGGATTCAGGTGAGCTCCTTAAACAGATGGGAAATATTTTATTTTACAAGGACATTATTAATATACACAGCTGTACTGGAGAGTTTGTACCTGATACCCCTTTTGCAATGTAGATTCCAAATGTGGTGCCCAGTGCAAATCCGAGGTTGATTGACAGGTAGTCGCCCTTAGTGTTTTGAGAGGTCGTCACCTGGGCAACAGAGCCACACCCAAAAAGCTGGAGTGTAGAGACAGTGACATCAAGACATTTTGATGAAATAATCTGGTGTGAACGTGTACTCAGACATGATGTCTATAATTGAAAGCTTTATGGCACAATGAGATTCATGAGCACTGCAGTTCCTAAGAAGAGGCAAAAGATTATTTACTAGTTCAAAGTCTTCAAAGTTTGATCTCTAGAATTTCTTTGCACATGTGCTACTGAAGAGATGTAATGTACACAAGGCAGTACATTTCAGTAGATAATACACTCTAAAAAAAAATGGTTCTTCAGCGGTTCTTCAGGGGTTCTTTGCGGTGGTCATGGTGCTATATAGCACCACTACCATTTAAAGAACCTGTTAAGCCCAATTTGGTTCTTCAGCGGTTCTTCAGTGGTTCTCTGGGGTGGTTAAGGTGCTCTATGGCACCTCTCAAGGTTCTACATAGCACCATTTGACAAAGATAAGTGCTATATGGCACTTAAAGTGGTTCCCCTATGATGACAAGCCAATGAACCACTTTTAGTGCTATTTAGCACCATTTTTGTTTAGAGTGTTGGATATTATGAAGATAAAATATTTTTTATAGATTTTTATAACTGCTTTACTATTTACATAACACTTTACAGTAAAATTAATTTTATTAGTAAACTGTCTTTAACATGAACTAGCCAGGAAAAACACTTTCCTTGAATTTATTAATCTTAGTAAATATGAATTTGAAAATGTACTAATACATGATTAAAATCAATGTGTTCCCCTTTATCTTGTGTGGACTTATGTCATTTCCTGTTCTGTTCCATGTTTTGTAGTTTTTCTTGTTGATTAGTTAATGATTGTTCCCAGGTCTTGTTCACCAATCTCCCATTGAGTGTATATTCCCAAGTGTTTCTCATGTTTTTGTCTGGTGTTGTCCTTCTATGGATGTTATGTGTGCGCTTCTTGTTTGCCTTCCTCGCCCGTGTCTACATTTATCAGTTTTGCCTGGATTTGCTTTTATTATGCTTGTTTGAATAAATGTTTGCTGCATCTGGATCCCACTCTCGTTCCTCTGAAACAGCCACCATTACATTTATATTGTTTTTTGGACCAGACAGCAACAGTGTCGGCCCAGATCCGGCCCGCATCTGGTATACGTGGATTCCACACGGCCCAGATGTGGGCCGGATCTGGGCCGACAGACACGGTTGCTGTCTGGGCCTGAGCTAACATGAACTAACAATGAACAGTTGTATTTTTGTTAACTAATGTTACAGTTTTTTTTATTCGATTTGGTATTATTTTCACAAGATGTACATTTTAAAACCGTTTAGTACAAAACTCCTAACTGATATCACTTATACAGTAACAGTCATTCTTTCAAAACTTGATCTCATGCTTTCATTCTAGTTTTTATTATTGTTTCAAAACACTAGATCATATAATGAGAACATTTGGTTTAATCACCGAAACACAACCGTATGATCTTCTTTCAAATTAGTACTTTTAACAATCAGTCCATTCAGCAACAAACAGTGCAGGGATACATGTTTAAATCACCCTTATTGCTGAATTAATTACAGTAACGGCTACAGATTAGAAAACACACTTACATTCTAACATTATGTAATTACATTATGCAATTGAATCCATAATGTTTGTAATAGTATCTATAAATGTGCATGCACACACTTTGAACAGTGGTTATCATCTAAGATATATTCACTTATGTAAAAACATAATTACATTTGGTTACCCATATCGGAAATTGCAGATATCTGTAGGTGTACCAAATGATTAATTGATTAACCATTAAATTCAGCTGGATTAAATAATAGACAAATGTATTAAACTGAATGAGAAGAGATGCAAATCAAAAGTTTGATAGTAAAAGCTTTAAGAAATACAGTTACTGTGAATGAAACATTTATATGAACCTTATTTTGTGAGAAAAGGATACTTTGTGATTTTGTGGATTGTACTAACACAAATGAAAATATGCTAAAATGTTTGAAGAAAGTGAACTTTTGATGAACTGTTGTGATATTAGCACGTAGGAGTTTTGAAAATGTACCAGTTGCTTGTGAAAATTGCACCAAAGCAACTAAAAGAACTAACAGATTTATAAATAATGTTGCAAATGAATTGTTAATTGTTAATGAATGTTAGTTAATGGAACCTTATTGCAAAGTGTTACCAAAGAAAATCAAAATTTTGAAAAGATACAAGTACACTGTAATTATTTGTGAAAATTTACTAGCAATCTCCAAATGTCTACACCTTTTTTTTTTAAATGGCAACACATTGATTAAACATGAAATTTTGAAAGACTGAAATATTATTTTCTTGTAAAATGTACTCCAATAATCTTTGTTTTATTTTAAATCTTTTTTTTTTTTGAAGGGTTAATGGCACACATTTCCATATTAAAAATACAGATATGACGATTACAGACTTACTATCAAAACATAGACTCCGAAAAATTCAGCCAGACATTCTCTGATCAAGCTGCTCTTGATTCGGCATCTCCTCAGCAGACGATCCATTATTTCTGCCCTCTCTGCTTTCGGTTCGAGTAAATGCAGGCCGGGAGATCGGGGATTCCAGACAGAGTATTCTCAGGGCTCTGAGAAGCTCCCACCCAGTCAGCACCTTAGAGAACGCATGGTCTTCTGTTTGGACAATTATCACACCACATAGGTAAACTCCGACTATCTGTTGTGGTTAAAGTGTGTTTTATGTGTGCGTCTGGGGAAGGAATGACAATTACATGTAGTACATTGCCCTTTTGTAATAAAACGACGAGTAGTTTATTGTTAACTTTTATCTGTGATGCACTGCTGGCTTATACTCAGATATATGCATAAATCATCTACTCTGTTTATTTTGAAGAAAAAGTAAAGGTTCTATTTTTTGCCAATTCATGCAAAATACCTCTCCCTTTCTATCAGAGTACAATAGGGCAATAGAAGATGCCTTGTTTTCAGCTGAACCATTTATGCAGGGGTTTCCAATTCTGCTCCTGGAGGACCAACACACTTGCCTGGAAGTTTCTAGTGTGTCTGAACTGAAGACCTTGATTCGCTGGTGTGTTTAATAAGGGTTGGGGCTCAAATTTGCAGGACGTTGGTCCTCCAGAAGCAGGTTTGGACAACCCTGCATTTATCCATTAACCAATATCTTATCAATATTTTTTCTCAATATTGATAAGATAACTAGCATAACTAGCATTGTCTCATAACTAGCATTCATAAGCACATACAGATGTTGTTGTTATTTCTTGGTAAATTTGTTCTCAGGGCCCATTTCCTCAGTGTTTTTCCTAATTAACTAGTTTTCTAGTCAATTAAGCAAAGCTACACATCTGACGTGTAAATGTTTGACCCTGATGTCCATGATTGCCTCCAGCATAGTTAATGTGTCCATGCAGCTGTTCTCAGTGTTCCCATTATATAGTCTTGGCAATGGACAAAAACAATGTAATTTTTGACAAGAAAAAATGTGGCCCATAAACATAATTCGGACACTTTCTACACCACTGGTTACTCCGCTGATTTAAAAAAAAAAAAAAACATTTTTACCTTGTTTTTGAGGTAAACTCAGTTTTGAGGTAAACTTATATCTGTCTTAGCTTGTACTTAGGAGATAATCATTAGATAACTGAGTATAAAGGCAATCTCCATAAAGTTGATGTCACTCGTGTTTCATCTGTCACTAGATAAAGATCAAATTGGGTGCAAAGCTAACCAATGCTCACAATTATGGGTGTGATACGCACCTTAAGCAATAGTGTACCAGGCTTGGTGTACCAGGCACTTTTTCTCTTCATTCTTAAAACACTTTAAATACCTGTTAAAAATGAAAAATGTTTAGTGAACTATTGTTTACTTTTCTTATCAGCTCACATTATCAGCATTGCTCTAAAAGCCACAGACTGTCAGTTTACTAAAACAGATATAAATCAGACTGGTAAGTCTATGAGGCAGAACTGGGTGAAACTTTGTGTTGCTAAACATACTACATACTGGTATACATCATTATACTGGAAAGACACTCACTAACATGAACCTGAAACAGCTGCACAACAATATATATACAGTTTTTTCCAGATTTATGAACTTTGAAGTGCTTTTACTACTGACTTAGTTTCCTTATTCGTTCAACCTACGACACGCTTCCCTGCCCTCGGAACCTCCACCAGTGGTTTGGAAATGAAGTATCCTGCGTACTCTGCAATGCTCCCAACGCAAGTCTCCAGCACATCTTGGCAGGCTGTAAGATCGCTCTCTCACAGGGACGCTACAGATGGCGCCACGATCAGGTCCTGAGAAAGCTAGCCGAAGTACTTGAGGAGTGTCGACAGGGTAGCAAACAACCACCATCAGCAGAGGACCCCACCATCTTTGTGTCGGAAGGAGGGGTAAGGAGAAGCACCAGATCAAGAGAAACAGCAAGGCTCTTCTCCCCCAACCAGGAGTGGGACATGAGGGTTGACCTAGATAAGCAGCTCCGGTTCCCCACGGAGATAACCACCACATCTCTCCGGCCAGACATAGTGGTGTGGTCAACCAAGGCGAGATCGACGCACCTCATTGAGCTCACTGTACCACTGGAGGAGGGGATCGAGGCCGCCTTCGAACGGAAGAAGGCCAAGTACTCGGAGCTTGCTGCCGAGTGCCGGGAGGCTGGCTGGAAGACGACCATCCACCCAGTGGAGGTCGGATGCCGAGGTTTCCTTGGGGTGTCAACCATACGCCTCTTGAGGGAAGCAGGAGTGGCCGGAGGGAGGCTAAGGAGGGCAACAAAGGATCTGGCAGAGGAGGCAGAGAAAGGTAGCTTTTGGCTCTGGCTGAGGAGGAAAGATAGGTGTTGGGGGAAGAACATCTAACCCCAGATAACAGCAGCAGGGAGAACAGCTATCAGCTGCAGGGGGTGACAGGGAGACGTCCCTGTCACTGCTCCGCCACCAGGAGACGTTCCAGAATTAAAGGAGCGAAACGTCGGTGAACGGTGGTTTCTGGCTGATGACCCTGCAGCTGACCCATGGGCACTGGAGGAGGTGCGACAGGCAGCAATGCCCAGCAGGTGGTAACATCTTCCTGTGCAATTACTTATTTTAAAGTCCCCCCTAGTAGTCAATCATGTTATCCCTTAAAACTCACATTTGATCACCAAAATTACATATTTAAATGTTTTTTCCTTGGAAAAAAATCTGTCATGCCTTAAAATAGCTTGAATGCAACTCTTGAATACACCCTTGCCTCATGTAGTATATGCTGTTCTATGAATATGCAAATTAGCCCCGCCTCCACTCACTCACACAAGCTCAGAGATACACTCGTTGATGATCACACGTTAACGTGATTGGTTACAAGGTAGTTTGTGATGACAGAAACACCAGCGTTTAACCAGGTAGTTTGTGATGCATTTTTGAGACTGTCTTTGATTCACTGCAGTTTTAAGGAGAAAATACTCAGCAATGGTGTTGACTTATGAATTTGCACATGGTTGTTCTTAAAGCATATTAAAAACACGACATAGATATATAAACAACATTAAAAGCTGGATATTCACCACAAGAACATCGAGTTCTGTAATAAAATATAAAGTCTCTGAATAGGTTACATCCAGGTTCACATTCTACAAGAAACCATTACATTTGAAGGATTTTAACAAGCCGCAGAAATACAGCTGAACGAACTGTTCACTACTTTTGAACCTTTTTGCATCAGTGTAACTATTGTTAGACTAGAGAGATTATTATTTATCAATATTGACCTGTTTTCTTAAATCAGTGTTATTTTAAAGGAAATGACCAACTTGAGACTGCAAAGCATCCCACCTTCCGCACAAAAGAAGCAAAACAAGGCAAATCACTTTTTTCCCCTTTATTTCACTCTGAGTGATAACACCTTTAAAAATAAAATGTTATATATATATATATATTACACTGTAGCCCATCATCTGCAGTCTCACGAAATCCAATGGATCTTCTTTACCAACAAATTTAAAAATGTATGTCCGTCCTTTTCAGAACACTGTGACTTCAACAACTGCCCCAAAGTTCAGGAAATTGATATAATTATTTATACTAAATTATATTCAAAAGAAAGAAGTAGGCAAAGATATCAGGGTCATTTTGTGGCAGAAAATAATTGTTGTTTACTCATATCATCAAGACTGGATCTCCACATATACATTGAAGAATTCAATCAGACATAAGAATGAAAATATTCACTAATTATCATTGTAGATTGCAGTTGATAGTTTTGCCGAGAAAGAGATTGTCCTTTGGTTTGTGTCCCCTTTCAGCCCCGAAAGCCTCTGAAGAACTTAGAAAACACGGAGAAATCATCCTGCATGTCAGAGCGGCCTGAAAGATGCAGAAAATACATTACTGGTCGATTCAAGAATCAAAACCGATCTTGTAAAAGCTTGAGGAATATAACACTGATATTTGAAAATGTCTTTACATACTATATTAAAGGTTCTCTAAGCGATGTCGGGTGACGCCACTTCTTGTTGACGTTTAAAGTATTGTCAAACAAAACGGAGGCTAGCTAGACCCTCCCTCCTCCTCATCCGCGCACTAAACCCCCAAACCCCGCCCCCAAGTCCTTCTTGTCTGTGATTGGCTGGAACTGTTTGTCATGTTTCATGGAGCGGGTTAGCCCAGTTTGTTTTTGTTGCTGTTTGTGGAGCCTGGGCTGTCTACAGAGACCGCGTTTCTTTACAGTGTGTTCAGGGGACAGGCAGCCAGCGGTTAGTGAGGAGATGTTTGCTGTATGTGACAAAAAATGTTTTGGCCTAAAAACCGCGTGACATCGCTTAGAGCACCTTTAACCAGAATGCGTTTTAAATACTCTAAATTCTACAATGTTTATATTACAGTTTTTTTCGATTGCTAAACGACAGTGAGCACAACTGGAGCTACATGTGCAAAACTCTAACTCCAGTCTGCACAGCAGCAGTTCATGTGGACCAAACTCTAGTTCGTTTTTCAGAGCTTGAACACAGTTTTCAAAACTCTACACACTTATACCATGACTTTAACCACAACCTGCACAACACTGTGGATTTACAGCACTTTGTTCAAATGCTAACACACTGCTGTCAAAACTGTGAACCATACATTCAAAACAGAATAGATTTCAGCCTTGTGCCTTTCACACACTGCTGATTGCAGTCTCAGCTGAAAGGCTCAATTATTTGTTCGAATTACAGTATGTACTTTTAGTTTCTACCTTTTTTTTTCTCATTACTGTAATTCCATAAATTACTACAGACTATTGAAGCAAACTGCTAATTTTCATTTACCTTAAAGAATTGTTATGTTCTAAAAATGTAAATAAATCATGTGAAAGAATGTCACTCTTTTCTTTTAAGAAAATATTACTTTGTATGAAGTCACTGAAATTGTTCAAACTGTAAAGATGAAAAGTTAGTATTTTCTGTTTTGGTGTTTGATGCTAGTGTTTTTACTCTCAGTGTGTTCTGAGTGCCAGTGTGTGTTATCTCAGTGAGGGTTGTGTGTAGTGTTTGGCTGCACTGAGCCTGTTTTGAGCGAT